CGTACGATACCTAGAACATAGTCCGAAAAAAAACAAAACAAAAAACAAAACAGAGTGAAGTTATGTAGGAGGTAGATTTGAACTCCAAAGCAACTCCATGACGAACCTAAATTAACAAGGACATATATTGGTGGTTTGCTCATAAAAATAATAATCTTCATTCATATCAAGATTTTGTTATTCAACTTCCCAAAAATCCTTTGATTGTTTCAGCATAATTTAGTTGTCAATGTGTTTTGTGCCCGCTTGTGCTTCCAGCACTTTTAGTAAGTGCTTTCGTAATGACATGAGTAAGAATTCCAATGGGACAGAAAAACAGGCAAAGAGAAACTGAATGCCGAGTCTCAATTTCGTTTTGAAGACCATCACAGAAAACCTGCCTGCATGAATGAACACAACTAATGAGTGTTACAACTCTGTGTGTGTGTGTGCGTTTGTGAGAGAGAGAGTTACCTTGCAGCAAAGAGATCGACAGCCAACAAATGAATCCAGGCAGAAGCTAATGTCATCTCATTGGTGAACATCTTTGCTATACCAGTCAGCTGCACATAGTACATAGGTAGAAAACAAAATTTTGTATAAATTTTCTTAACTTATGAGAAAAGATTGCTGAACCTATAATTCTAATACACACCTCAGGTAGCCAGTATTTACTTGCAAAAATCAACCGTAGCGTCTGAGGAGTCCAAGAGAGGTATAGTAGATAAGCATAGAGAACTCCGAGCAGAATATATGGTACGCTACTTTCCGTAGACATTTTTGTCTGCATTTTACGTGATCTAAACAAATTAGGTACATCAATTTAGGTTGAGCAAATCTTGCAGAATTATAACTACTTCCCCTCAATTTCTGTGCCTTTAGTGGGTGAGCCAAAAAATGATTTTTTGTGTATAATCCTGCATAAATCGGAATGCGGATGGATAGCAACATTGTGTGAGAGTCGTAGGACTGGATAAATACAGGAGAACATACCAGTTCAGCTTTAGGTGCCACAACCATGAGGGCATAAAATGGGAGAACTGCAGTTGTTCCCAAAGTAAAAACTTTGCTAGCAATTTGAGAACTTGCCAACCCTGACCAAAGAAAAGACAGTAACCTTAGTTTTATCGATCATATTTGAACCTAACTGATGCAGGACGCGTAGGACCTAAATTTATTAGTTTCCTAATGTATTTGTTAGTTTCCTAGATTCTCTAGTTTTCCAAGTTCTAGAGGATTTCTATTTCAGATTTCCAGTTTTAAGTTTCCTATTTTATTTGGGTTAGGATTTCTGTTTAAGCAAGGGATTTTTATCCTATTATGTCTAGGTTTTAGTTGGCTATAAATACCCCCATGTAGTTCTTTAAAATTGAGATTTGAATGTTGAGTAAACCTTTTCCTAGAACTCTCTGATTTTGTCCCTTCGATCTATATTTCTTCTCCTCGATCTCCGATATTCTTCTTTGTTCTACTGTTTCTTTCCTTTATCTCGTCTTTTCGATCTCTATTTCTCCTCCCCGGTCTCTTATATTCTTCTCTGTTCTATTGTTTAAGTGCTTAATCTAACACCTACAGACTGTACTACATCACTAACACTACCCCCAGCCCTCCCATAATCTTTATCACTCACTAGCATGAGAGGTCAACAGATGATAAATGGATCATGAAACAAATAATGACTAAA